GGTAAATCTATATTTTTACAACTCATGTAAAATTGTTTCCTAATTTGTCTGTTAGCTTTTATTTGACTACACTCTTGTCAAAGTATATCATATACATGTTGAATTCTAGGTTCTATTACAATATCATTTTTCTTTGGATGTTTTTGCCATTTATTCCAAATCTTTTCACATATTGTTCCTTTTATTTTTGTAATATAAGTATCAAATAAATTAATATCACTAATTCTATCTGTTCTTCCTAAATATTTAAAGAAATATATGGTATATTCAGCTATACACTGTAAATCACAAATTTGTAATTGTTCTAAATTTCTAATTGCTCTTTTCTGTTCTTGTTTGCTTCTGCCATTTAACTTATTATGATATAAAAATTCTTGTTTAATCAAAATAACAAAACCATCAATATTAAAATGTGTTTTAGTTGTCTGATGTTGTTTTGGATTTAGAACTTTCCATGACTGGAAATAATAAAAAACTAAACCATCTAAAGTATGCTCAAAATAATCTAACATATTTTGTGAATTATTAAAATCTAACATTAATGCTGCGTGAATGCAACCTTTTTCCATCTCTTAATCATTCTTTCCCAATCTTGTGGATCTACACTATCTAAGTTTAATATATTACATGCTATATTGATTTGTTCTAAACCTCTCAAATATGGAATCCTATTTTTTTTATGTTTTATCATGCTTTCTTCTATGCGGTCTACTCGTGCTCCTTCATTATAGTGTTCATTTGTTGGTCTAAAAAATTGTTGATCAGTTTTACTTGCATGTCCTGGATTTGGATTTTCTACTCCTGATGTACTACTTTCTTTTGCTAGATTACATTCTACTTTGAATTCTGCTCTCATTTCTAATAAATTATTATATTCTTTTGATCCTAAAATATGTTCTACTCCTATTTCTAAAATTAAAGTTTTCGTGTCTTCATCTGAAATTATATGTAGTCCTAAATCATATGTCTTATATTTTTCTAAGTATTGTTCTTCATTTAAATGGCCAATATTTTCTATGAGCTTATCTACAATATGATCAAAAAATTTCTCAACTAAATTAATATCTAAATTATCAAAAGCCATATGAATACTCTCATTTTCGATCTCGCTTTCATCCTCTTCTATTTTATCTAGTTGCTTGTAATTACTAAATCTAATTGTTGCTTGACCTGTACTAGTTTTATATATTTGTACTTTATCTGGTTGTCATTTTTTGCTATTTGTAAATTAGGTAATGTCCACTGAGTTTCTTTTAAAAAGATATTATCTACGAGTTTTGCTTCTATCATATTTACATGTTTACTACTAAATATTTGAACTAAATTTTGAAATTCTAAATTACACTTATGATTATATCTATCCGACACTTCACCAATATACATTAAGCTAATACACAAATTTTTATACTCTCCTTTCATATTATAATTTTTTGTTCTTATACTTACTTTAATATATTTACTAAATTCGTTTATTGTCATAACATAATTAGGAATACAACTTATGACTGCTAAATTTGAACTTAAATCTACTTCAGTTGTTGCTATTGCTGCTTGTTGATGATTATCCCGTCTATTGTCATATATGCATACTAAAGTTTTTGTGCCTACTTGTGCTCTGGTTAATCCTGCTATTTCAATTAATATTGTTCTTATGTGAATCTGACTAAATTGTGATTTTCTCAAATGGGTAACAGCTTCTTTACTAGTTAAATTAAGTGTTACTTCTTTACCAATACAGCTAACTTCATGTTGACTGATGCTACTTACAATTCTACTTCTGTTTTCAAATAAACCTAATTGATACAAATTATATTTATTTTTTTGTGTTCTCTCAAAACCTTTTCTAATAAATTCTTGTGCTTCTTCTTCATTTGGATAAATATCTTCAGCTTTAACTACTTCTTTTCCTTTTTTCCTAAAGAGTTCGATTTTTTATTATCAAAGGGATTTAGCTTAGATCTTGTAATATTACTATTATCACTTAGAGTTAAATTTTTTAATTTATCTAGCAAAGATGGTGGAAGTGATGGGAGATGCGTTATGTAAAACTTGGTTTATTTCTGCTATTTGTTCTTCAAATTGATGTAATTTTTCAGCTAAACTTAAAACTAATTGAATATTAAATTATTTTGCCTAATGGGAATATTATTACTGTGACATCCTACATCGTCCAGGGGATGATCCTTATATGTTGATTCTTATCTCTACCTAGCATGAGGTTTTTTGGGAGCTCACTGGCTTTGGGTTCTGTTATAACTCTGAAGTTAAGCGAGTAGCGTGCGAGAGCACTCCCATGATGGGTGACCCACTGGGAAGTTCTCATGTGAGTTCCCAGAAACAAAACCGTGAGAGTGTGCTGGGGGCCCAAAGCGGACAATATCATGCTATGGTGGAGTTAGGCCCGGGAAGTGGTCCCACCCGGGCCAGGATGTGACAATTACTCGCTACTTGTGTTGAAAAATATGTTAAACCTACTGGTTCTTTGTTTAGCTTAGTAATTTCTTTTAAAGCTTGGATATATTTTCTGCTAGTTCTAGAATTAATCATTACACTAATAATTTATCTATTTTATTATGCAACTTATCTACTTGTTCACTTAACTCTTTTTGCACTAATTGAATTTTTGAACTTCTAATTTTAACTGCTAAACTATTTCTAATGAACTAAGTTCTACTTGCTTCAGCTTACTACCTATGAGATCAACAAGTTATTTTATCTATCTTTAGATAGGAAACTTTTGAATATTTTTATTAATATCTTCTAACTGAGATGTAATATAGTCTAAATTTTGTCTAATTATTTTTATGGAATTTTTCTGAAAATGCTCTAACAACTGATTTAACAAATGATTATGCTTATTATTTTCTAATTTTATATTTTCTGCTTGACTAATAATAAGATCTACAATACTATTGGCTTGTGAATTTTATTCACTATGCAAAATATGATTATGTTTTCTCAATGAAAAATAACAAACTAAACTATTTTGGTCTAAGGTTATTTTTCTTTTTTTAGGTTCATTAATTTCTAAATTAAGGTAATCTATCATAAATTATAATCTACCTTTCTCTAAAGTTACTGCTAATTGGCTTCTTAGAAACTCTCTTTCTTCTCTCAAGGTCTCTAAAGTTTGATCTATTGCTCCTTTTGCTTCTTCAACTTTATGCTGCACTTCTGTGTTATTATATTTATGAATAAATGAAAGATGTTCAAGATAACCAAGATAAAACTTTTACTTCTTTAAAGTCCAGCTAATTCTTTTGAATATGTATGCTAATATTCTCTTTATACTAGTTATAGTTGGATGCCTGAGACAATAAATACCTGGTGGTTGTGGTTGACAAGGTCTACAAGGACAATAATATATGTTGTTCATACAAAATAAACAAGTGTGATATTAGTTGTGTTAATGACTTCCGTCCTCAATGTACTTTACTATTATAATTATACTATTAAAATGCTAAACTTGGCTTTGATACCAAATTCGCAAAGCAGGCCTGGTTAAATAGTCGAATGACCATTATAACAACTAGACACAAAACCTTGCACATAAAACTCGACATGTTTCAGCATGATGGCCACTCATAGTACAAGTATAAGGCCTTAATGGCTAAACTCAGAGGTATGAAGAACTCAGAGGTACCCTAGTTAATGTCCAGTTATTTGTATGACAAGCATTCAACTATAACAGACTGCTCGAACAAAGTATGATCTTTAGTTTAGTAGGTTAATAATATAACTACAATAGTGTTTTCTTATTTTGGACTAGAAGTCTTAATTAAACAAACACACTAAAAAAAGAAAAGAAAACTTACTTAAGACTTGTAGATTGCTTGAATATGTACACTTGAACTTTTATTGATATATAAAATGTTTACAAAGATAATTGTTTACAAGAAAGTGTTTACAAGGATGCTATGAAGACTATGGCTGCTTGAGAGTATGAAAATGGTGAGAGTAGGGTGTCAGATGTTGAAAGGTATTGAGAAGTTGTGAGGTGTTAAGATAGAGGTATGTTCTGCATGGAATAAAAAACTCCCTTATATACAAAAACTAATTCCTTAAACAACAAAATAATTTTTCATCTATTTACAACTTTTTGAGTAGTGACAGCACACTATTTCTGAAAGCTGTCAACACTGTTTTTGGAATCTAGCTGACTTGTCTTTGCTTTAATGAAGGTCATGTGAATCCATGTTGTCTTAGTTGCTGCAATATTTGCCACCTTGGTTTTTGTATTCCAATGTAATCTAAAAGTGTCAGCCTTCTTCTCTCTTCTTTTGGATGTATTGTTTGGTGAAGTCATGTGAACTTTGCTGTAAGTATTGCTTAAGCAATCTTGTCTAAATGTGTGAAGGGCAGGATTGGCATTTTTGCAAAATTCTATCCTGATGATTAAAAGAAAAGTTTTCTTGGATTTTTGGTTAGTTTTCCAATTTTTTTTCTCCTCCCTCCCCTCCCACTTCCCTTTCTCCTCGACAGAGACAAGTCTTTTATAGACTTTTACTTGACAGTTTGGATGAAGGAAAATGGGTGTGGGTAGTGGAATCGGAACCACCTCCACTATCTGTTGCATTTTTTAGAGATAGGAAGAGAAAACTCCCATTTCAGTTTTCTTTCCAACGTGGAGCAACTTGCTTCCTTTTTTTTATCCACTTACTATTTTTTTATATTAGAAAAGGGCTTTAATCCATATTTGGACTTTATTTACTTGATATTTGGACTTTAACCATCAATGGGTTTTTCTTGGAATGAAGCCCAGTTTAATTTTTTTTGGTGGATTTTTTTAATCTCTTAGTAATAAACTAATTATAAACTTTCATGTCATTTGGTTTACAATATATGATCTACCAATTAGCCTCCCTAGCATTACCCTTGATACAAAACAGGTTTTTTTTTTACTGAAAATGGAAAACATAAAGGTAAAATAATACACTTGAATTGAAGCACTGAAATATATATATATATATATATATATATATATATATAAACCAAAAAAAAAAGATGAATACAGTTTATATACAGCGACATACAAATATGGTTTTCGTAAATATACATGTATTATTTTTTTACAAGATTTTTACTCTTTCTATTGGTAGTAGCACTTAAATTAAAAGGGATTAGTTTTCAAGGACTCAAGACAACTTCACTATGTACACTACCATCCTCCATTCTTATCCAAGATTTAACAGAGAAAGGCTGCTCGGTGATTTCCACAATTCTAGCTCCTCTGTCCCAGTTTCCGTACCCACCATAACCGGTATGCCGAGCAAAACATAGCCACAGTTTTTCGTAGGGGCAACACCAGTCTAATCCATGGTTGTGTCCTACAAATATTGCCTGCAACAACCCAAAGAAAATGAATAGATCAATTTAACATAAAAGTTTATCATCTGACTGTATCCTATAGTACGTTTCGCCATTCTATAAGTTTTCGGTGACTTGATTCAGACAGAGTAATTCAAGATGGGAACAAATAGAAACATGTAGAGTATCATATAAATAAAATTTAAGGGGCAAAACTAAGACAAGACAGAGAAAGAAATATAACATTGACTTCAGGAAGACTGCAAGAAGATTGCAAGTTTCATGCTTTTGCAATGTATGATTGTCAACTGGAAGGATCACGACTCAGTTTGTCGGAAATTCAGAATAGTACAGAACATTAACTTTAGGAATCATCAATTTGATATACTTCTATCACTAATAACTTATTAACGAATATTCATTTCCTAAAGGAAATTGTCATAGAATTGGGACGGGTGTGTGTGTGTGTGTGTCTGAATAGAACTATCCTAAATTGTTCCACTGTTTTCTCATGATAGGAAAATCAATTGGTTGCTACGATAGTTGCACTGCTGCATTTTACACAATAAGCAAAGACGGTTATCATTTACATATATCAGACAAGGCGAGCAAGAAAGATAAATCAGCCCAAGTCACTGGAGAACAGACGGATATCGCCTTCTCCAGCAGCATGCAAAAACTTATGATGAAAGTTATGGTTCGACCAAAAATGTCAGTACAAAGCAAACCATGGTTCTGTAGACTCTAGAATTGCCAAGAACCGACTAGGATTTGAACAGAAAATTTAAACCTAAGCACCAATACCTTTGGCTGCAAGTTGCTTGCCACGTTTTTTTCACAACCAGTGGTACACTCAGTCAATGTATCTTGGTTATCATTTGACAATGTTTGGCAGTCTGATTGTGAAATTAGACTCTCTCCCTCCCTCCCATCATCTCTGAAATGGGGGTGTATTGGTTTTTATTCCTGAGCTCCGTCAATTAGTTTAAAGCAACGGTTTACTTATATTTCTTAGGAACTAATACAGATCCAGTTGATTTTCCTAAGTGATCACTCAACTAGTCCATTCCATAACGCCAATCCCTACAGGAATACATGTAGTTGACCTGTTGGATGCTACATAGGAGCATTTCAGTTGGCTGCTCACTCTTCAGTATTCATTTTTTTCTCTTTCGATATTCCTCTATTTGCAGAAGGATGTTAAGGTTGGAACATCCAACCTAAACCTGTTTTTTTTTTGGTCAATAACAACAACCAACAACAACAACAAAGCCTTTTCCCACTAAGTGGGGTCGGCTATATGAATCCTAGAATGCCATTGTGCTCGGTTCTATGTCATGTCTTCCGTTATATCCAAATACTCCACGTATTTTCTTAAAGTCTCTTCCAAAGTCTTCCTAGGTCTTCCTCTACCCCTTCAACCCTAACCTTTATCCTGTAATCGCATCTTCTAACCGGAGCGTCAGTAGGCCTTCGTTTCACATGTCCAAACCACCGTAACCGATTTTCTCTCATCTTTCCTTCAATTTCGGCCACTCCTACTTTACATTGGATATCCTCATTCCTAATCTTATCCTTTCTCGTGTGTCTACACATCCAACGAAGCATTCTCATCTCCGCTACACCCATTTTATGTAGGTGTTGATGCTTCACCGCCCCACCTTTTTTTTTTGTCAATGGAAATATTTCATAAATCTGGCAAACATAGTCAAGCAAAGAGCAGGGAGGAGATACAATAGAAAAGAAAGTGCTAGTGATGCACAGTGTAGTCACTGACAACACCAACAGATCGCTAACATCAACTAACTATGCCAAAAGGCAACCAAAAAAAAAGGGAAGAGGAATTACGCTCCATCTTCCCTTCTACAACAGATTTAAACAGGTAGACATGGCAAGCCTCCTTGAGACAAAACCAACAAAAGAGAGGGAGGTGGCCTTGAGGCCCAATGGTGACAACTGACAACTCACCCTCTTGATTCCCAATGATGCCACCACATGAGCTGCTTGATTTGCTTCACGGTGAATTCCATCACACTTGGTTAAAAGATGCAGCTTTCCTCCAGATAGCTTCAATGATTGGAAAAATTCTCCAAAGGCCCCCGATTGACTTGCGAGAGATGAAATCAATCACGACTTCAAATCACTTTCCACAACCAAATTAAGAACCCTAGTATCACTCACTAAATTGAGGCCAACAAAGATTGCCTTAGCTTCCACTTCCCCAGAGGATTGGTTAAGGCGGGAACGTTCAACATCAATCAAGACACCGCCTTTGTTAAGAATAAGGAACATGGTTTAGCATCTGATTTTACTCCAATGACCGCTGATGTAAGAGGTTTCCAAGCCCCATGGGTATTGACTTTGACAAACGGTGGCGAGGAAGAAGCAATCTAGCTTCTTGTTTGGTACTCAAACTATAGGCTTTAGGGCCAGTGCATCTATCCAACCTAACATCTGGAATTTTTACATAACACAACTCTCATGTATGGAAAGACTTAACCAAACATGTTCATGAATTATATCAAGTCAGTAACATGGATAATCTGTGACTACAGTGGTTCCCACATTCAGGTATAATGTTAAAGTCGGAGCATTCAACCAAATCACAACGGGTTGAGAAGCCCCTGATTTTATATACTGCAGTTGCAAAGCTTGTTTAGCAAATATTGAATTTAAAAAATCTTTATGAGCTTCTGATATTTAAGTTCATAAGACTAAACCTAGCTTATGATACGGTTAAACATTCATGTTTGTTAATATTTAATAACTTCATTATACATGTAATCTAATGATGGTGGATGTGCCCTACATGAATGCATGCCAAATTTTAACAGGGATAAGTATTTGACCTAACTCACCTTGGCAGAAGGCCTTTCAACCAAAAGTTTCATGATACCCATTTCAGCTTCTTGAGTTGCTACTCTCTCCTTGTTAATTGAACCCACACAAGGCTTGTGTATACCGAACCATGGAGCTGCCTTCTTATAAGCACGACTTGGTATATGCCAAAAGATTATCTCCGGCACCCTGCCAAATAAGGATTCTTTGATTGACAAGAAATAAGAGAAGAACAATAAATCTCGGCAAGCCTTCAGGTAAATCTCTTTCAGCACAGGCACAAAATAAAAAAAGTCGAAATTCTAAATTCTGGTATGAGATATGTACTTGCACTCAGGAAAAATCAGATGCTAAGCCATGTTCCTCTTGTCAATAAGGTGAAAAAAAGGGATAAAATGATGTTCCTTCCACAATTTTCTACCTTGAATCAGGGTTAATCTCTAGAGCTTTCTTGCGGAACCATTCTGCTTGGGCACTGGATATAATTTCTGGGTAGGAACCACCACCAGAATCTAGGAAGTACAATAATGCCACAGGTGACTTGGGATTGTTGGACGACAAAAGTTGGAGGACATAGTTGGATATACTAGGCCAAAGCTCTTTAGGACCATATCGAGAGTATGATAGCATGTTACGCTCAATCTCATTTTTCATTAACTCCAGACGTTGTGTGCCTTCAAAGTGACACTCTTCTTCTCCTTCATAACAGGCAGCCTTGTGTTAGACTAACTAGTATCCAAATGTTTTTCTCACCGTATTGATCAAATTAACAACATAATAGATAAAACTTCTCATCCACCTGAGCATGATGAATTGGCTACGCGGCAACGAATTTCAGGAATTCCAGGGGATGAAAACCACTCAATTGGCCACACAAATGCTGCATCATCGTGGTTTCCAAACACACTTGCCCAAGGAATACCCCTAGCTCTTGTTGGAGAAACTGCCTGATCCCAGTACAAGCTTGCATTTTTAATCGCTATATTGTTGGCTGTGATGACATCTCCGAGATAGATAACGAAATCTGCAATTTACTTTTCATTCCTTAGAATCTATAACGACACAGCAACGGGAATACATGGTAAGACAGGCAGGTTTACAGGCTAGATTAAATAACAAATTCAAACTCTACCAGCTTCAACACAACCAGAAATGTGAAACATAAAAAAGAAGATAAATTTGGTTCAAAGAAAAGGAAAAGAACAGACCAAGATCTTGTATCATCAAATTCAACTTTAGGAAACCGGAAAACGATAGCCTTTCGCATGTTGATTAACATTAACTTAACTTAATGCACGCCTTAGGTTGGTTTAAACTAAACAAAGTGCCCAAAATCTAGGCCGAGATTAGGCGAATTTTGAACATTAACACTGTTTTCCAATTTCCAAAATACCAATTTCATGTCACAGGGCAACAATATGCTTCAAATTTAAGGTTAAGATTTTGATTATCATTCTCAATTAGTATGAAAAGGATCATTAGCAATCGTTGACATACTCTAATAACAATAGAGCACCAACACACACCCACAAGTTTAAATCATTTTTCTCCATGTTTTCCTGAACAAGTTTATACTAGCAATGTCGTCTACTGGTATTCCTCTCCATTTGTAAACAGAAAGTCTTAGACTCGACTTTTATAAATAACGAGTCCAATGCTAAATTATTACCGACAATTATTGGGTTACTTAGCCGAACACGATCCTTCGATAAAGTAGTCTCAAAAGAAATGGAAGCTAAATATAAAACTATATACAAAAGTCAACACATGAGAAATGAAAAGAGAAAATGAATGACTTCACCTGGGGTTTCATCGTCGAGAACAGAGGACATGACCTTGATAGACTTCACATCCTGGAGTGGACCCCAATGGGTCCATGCGTCCTCTCCGAAATGCAGGTCGGCAAACAGAGCGATCTTGAACGGTGCAGTGGACCGTAGCTGATGGCAACCCTCTTCCGCCTTGGTCGGTAGAGCGACGGCGGAGATGAGCAGAAAGTAGAAGAGTTTTGCTATCATCACTTGAGTTACTCTGGGCACCAGCCAGCACACAGACGGCATTCCTTCATGATATGATCATAGATTCATAGTGGCTGTGGCCTTCCGGTGGGAAAGATGGCGAAATTACGGAATTGTCCCTGGCTTTCTCCTTCCACCACTTGGCCTGTGTTTAAAACTTCGTCTTTTTAATCAATTTTTCTCCAATGTTACCTAACACTGGATATAATATTATTTATACTAAACGGATGAGAATGGACTAAATTTCACAATGAGTTAGTATTAATATAGTTCAAATTCGTTTTTCGCGAGAATCAAATCTAATATGGTTCACAAGGAAAGAGGAATAACAACATTAGACTCTAGTATTAAGTGGCAATTATATCATGATTGAAAATAAAAGATATGTATTGTGGAAATTAAACTTAATTATGAAAGTAATTACAAAGGTATTGGAAATATGTTATTATGTGTGTCACAATTGCACACTAATAAAATTATTGAAAGAATTTCAACAGAAAGACCACATTAAAATGTGTACTAAAAGTCAAACACTAAAGGGTGTGGTGACATAAGGATTTTAAAGACTTTTAAAAGACTTTAGAATCCTGACGTAGTCAACTAGGATTTTATAAGATTTTAAAAGAGTCTATTCAAATACAGGGATAATCAACTAAAGGATTTTAAAAAAATTTAGAATCCTATTGTAGTCAACTAGAATTTTAAAGAATTTTTATAAAGTCCATGCAAATCTATAGGTATTCAAAAATTCATAGATCTTGAAGGATTTCCTTCAATAAGAGATTTTATAGGATTTGAGAAAGATTGTAAGCATAACAAAATCCTACCTCCACCCCTAGGATTTCTGTTCAACCCTCACTTTCTTTCTCTATCCCCCCACACTGCAACTCGAGCTTTCTTTCTCACTCTCATTTTCTTCGAAAAATTCATCCTTCCTTCCTTTGGGTGTCTCATCCACCCACCCCATCCTCTCAATATACAATCAATAAACCATTGTATACAATCGTATACAAAGATAGCTAAGTTGATACCTTTGGAGATAGGACTTGAAGAAGGTGATAGAGGGGGTGTGAATAATTGAAGGGTTTGACTTGCACTTGTTAATGGACTCCTCCATTTTTCCTACCTTTGCAGCATCCATTCTCTCTCTCTTTCTCTCTCTAAAGGAATCACCTTTTAAAAAAATCAAAAGCCAAATGCGCTTTCATGAGTGAATGATTATGGTGGATGGTTTCTATCGTGGAGGACCTTGGACATGGAGGATAGGGGTTACACGGGAGAATTGGGCATAGTTCTTCATTTATTTTCAAGTTTACTCTCATTTTTTTATTTAAAAATAAATTTTAAAATGACAAGAGAGTCTCTCAAAATTCAATCAAATCTTTTATCAAAGTCCATAAGAATCGTTTCAAATCTTTAATCAAAATCCATAAGAATCCTTAAAAAATACAGTTAAAAGGTCTTTTAAAATCCTGTGAAATCCAAATTGATCTAACCCCCCCCCCCTCTAAATTAATGGATTTTGAAATCAAAGGGCCAAAGTTAGAAATTCTATTAATCTCATAGATCACTCAATTTTAAATACCTAATAGGGGAAATTTGGAAATATAATCATTTTGAAAACATTTAATGAAATCTAGCCTCTGTTTTTTAATTTTTATAAAATTAATCGAAATTGAAGTTAAAAAGACTTAATTACCCTTAAACTAAAACCATCTCTTTCTCCTCCTACTCTGGTGTTTGTCTCCTATGTCCAGCTTCGCATCCTCTCTTTCCTCGTGCCTCACGAGATCGTCGGCTTTGCCTGCATGTTGAAACGATTCGTTTTGCTCTGCAAATCTAACAACAAGCTCTAGTTGAACATCTGCCATCGCAGGTGGGATTGCACTGACGGCAAACTCTACTAAAGAGATATTAGAGAAAGATGTAGGATTGGTTGCTACGCTTCCGTCTTTTGTTAATAGTTGTTTGGCAATTAAGAGGAGTAAAGAAAAGATAAATGCTGCCAAGCAGCAAATTGATAGAATTATGCATCCATCAAATGATCGTTCAAGTGACAGCAGTGATATTAGCATGTTTGAAGAGGTACATACTAGGAAGAAGGGAAAGAGAGGACATGGTATTGATTGGGAATATTTAATTGGAGGAGGATTATCTCCCCTCCTAATCTCTCTCCCCTTCCCTCCCCTCATATTTGAACGATTATTGTTTAGCACGTCAACATCTTATATTAATTTTTTTATAGAGACAATAAGACAAAAAATATATGTGAGAGGAGGGGAGGGAAGAGGATGGGAATAGGAGGGGAGAGAATCCTACTCCGATTTAATTATTGAAACCCTACTCCTTCATAAAGTAAAATAGTAAAAGAATAGGAATTGAGAAAGGGTGGTACAATGTTTAATTGGAATTATATTATTTTAACTCTGGGTTTGTGTGAGAGCTTCTACATTTTGGAACAAAAATGGGAGGAATATGCCTGCACGCCTTTGCAACTCCATGATCAAAGTTACATTTTTACTGGATTTTGTCTAGATTTTGCAAATCTTACAGTTGATGCAATCATACTGTTTGGACCCAAAATAATACATTTGGCCAAGTCCATGATTGTTCTCGATCCAGTAAGAAGTACCAGGAATATTCCCACCTTGGGCCTAGCCTAGTAGAGCTCGGCTGAATCCTATCAGAAGACGGTTCTGCCTGGATAAGGGTGAAGTGGTCAAATCCTAGTATAATAATGACTTTTCAGAAGCTAAGGATGCTTCGAATCAGAAAAGATGCCGAGAGTCAAGGGTTGAATCTGAATGATTAATTAAAGAGCTTGGTTTAGAATCCTATAGAAGTTAGGATTGGTCAAGACCTAACCAGAATGGGTTGAGTAATTCTAATACGAGTGAAATAATGACTCGGGTATTGAGAAAATTGCTACTATAAATAGAAAAGGGAATGCATCACTCAAAGCCTTCCAAATCAACACACAAAACTGCCATGTGCAAACTCTCGCTCTACACGAAACCTCTCAAAGACCTTGAGATTTTTATTTTTATTTTTCCCACCAACACTTCAGTTTGGATAAACAGCACTATGGAAGTAACTGGCAACATCTTCAATTTGAATAAACAACATTGGAACCATATAATCAACTGATTGAGGAGCATCTTCATAGGGTCTTTCTGTCTAGGTGCAGGTAGTCCTCATCTTCACAGACATGTCTATTTCACTAAGCCTCTCTATGAGACAATGCCCAGATCTATGTTGTTAAGGCCGTCTCCAACCCTTGACCTAAACCTAAAATTTTTAGCCCAGAAACAACTTTTCTGCTCCAACCCTTATGGCTTAAAATTTTAGCCCCAAATTATTAAAGAATGAATTTGGGCTAATTTTTTTTTCCTAAATCCACTTTTTTTTTTCAAAAAAAATTATGTAGACTATCGTAAATTAATTTTATGAACATTTTAATCTAAAAATATTTAAATTCCGATAAATATTGAAAAATCACCAAATCGATACATGAAACTAATGAAACACTATGAAGAATATGAAAATCATGATAGAGATGTATAAACACAAAATACTTGAAACGCACAAGACACACAGAACACATGTGGAACACATACAAAACACATGTTAAGGACATACAAAACACATGTGAATGACATACAAAACACTTGATAGAGATGAAGCAGACACATAACACATGTGAAACAGATGACACACATGAAACACATACCAAATACATACAAAACACATGAAACGCATGAAACACAAACCTACACACATGAAACTCAAACCTTCAACCATCTTCTATATAAGCATGTGCTGAATATCTAACTATCACACAACATTCATACCTTTAATCATCCTCTATATTCACCAATCTTTCAACTTTTAAAGTGTTTTTTTTTCATAAAAATCATCAATATCTCATTAATGGGTGATAGAAGAAGGTGTAGCTTAGTAATGTGGATGACACAATACCAAGCAAGTTGTGCAAATGCCGATGCATAAATGAACGCAGAAGAAGCTGCATTTGCAAACTCGCTTATGTAGTATCAACACCATGCCGAATCTAGCCATCGTGGTTCTGTCACGGGGCGTTCATTTGTGCAGCATGATAGAGAAGAGTGTCATGACCAGATGATGAAAGATTATTTCATCGAACCTCTGAGGTATTCTTCTCATGATTTTCGAAGGTGGTTTTAGATGAGGAGTGAGCTTTTTGAAAGCATCTTGAACGTAGTTGTCCATCAAGATCACTATTTTGCAAGAAAGATAGATGTCGTAGGCCAACAAAACCTATCATTTCATCAAAAGCTAACATCTGCATTTCGAATGCTAGCTAATGGGTGCTCTGCAGACTCAACTGATGAGTATTGCCGACTTGCAGAGAGTACTACTATTGAGAACCTGAAGCATTTCTATAAGGCAATTGAAGCCATATATGGAGCTACATACCTCCACAAGCCAAATCGTGAAGACTTAAAACGGCTTATAAGCAAGGCAGATAAAAGTGGCTTCCCTGACATGATAAGAAATCTCAATTGTATGAATTGGGAGTCGAAGAATTGTCCTACTACTTGGGCCGACCAATTTAAGGGCCATCACAACAAGCCAACCATCGTGCTCGAGGTTATGGCATCTTACTACACATAGATCTAACATGCATTCTTCGACGCTCTTAGATCAAACAACGATATCAACATTCTTTGGTCTTCTCCTCTGTTTGATGAAATTGTCAATGGATGGGCACCAAAATAGAGGTACAAGGTTAATGGTAATATGTATGAGCTAGGTTACTACCTAACTGATAGTATTTATCATAGTTGGTCTACCTTTGTCAAAAGTTTTTCCCATCCCGATAATGCAAAAAAGAAATTATTTTTATTGAGGTAAAAGTCTTACAGGAAGGATGTGGAGAGAGTCTTCAGGATCCTACAAGCTCAATGTGCCATTGTTAGAGGGCCTTCATAACTTTGGCATACCAAAGACCTCCATTTAATCATGATGATGTGCATAATTTTGCGCAACATGATTGTGGAAGATGAGTACATCGAAATTGAAGAAGATTCAGATGAAGATGTGGATGATGACTAACCAACACATGCGAAAGTTATGGCAAGAGATATTGAATATCTTGTTGCAACCACATATGAGA